AATTTCGGCTGTTTGACTGTTTTCCCCAACTTTGCAGGCCTGTATCTTAGGAAATACTTTAGTCAGAAGAGTCATATTTTAAATCAATACGACACTTATAAGTGGAAGTAAATTACCTAACATTCAAATCTGTATATGCGTGGGTTGGGGGGAATTTCGGCAAGCAAACACGAGACAAGCACCACAATAAAAATATTTTCAGTGCGACTTAAAAAAAAAAACAAAAAAAAAGGTTCTTTATTTTTTTTAACTCTACCCAGCCATTCTACTCTATCTAGCGGTTAATATCCATTAAAAACATGTTGCATCATATTGATGGTGCAATGGATACAGCTCCTCTACCGAGCCCCTTATCCGAAGCTCGGCACGGGGTGTCCCTGTGTTGCGACGCAATGATTGCAACTTCTTATTTTGTGAAAAGAGAGAATATATATATATATATTCGACGTTCATGTGTTTGAAGTTAACCTTCGGGCATCCACTCTTTGGCGGGTATTATGGGGGGTGTTGCTTGGTTTTGTGGACGCAGGAGGGTCAACATGTGTTTGCTTAGATGTAAATCTGGTTAAACGTTTCGTTTTCTTTTTTTCTTTTCTTCCGTACGGTAAAGTGTGAAAAAGCGTAAAATAAAAAAAACGGCAAAAAAAAAAAAAAAAAAAAAAAAAACTAAAGCATACAAAAATGTGTTGTTGTTATCGCAGAGAGGGTGAATTATTTCCAGATATCCGGTGTCGGTATTTTCTTGGAAGGGCAAGTTGGGAGGTGGGGAAGGACTTTAGGCTGCCTGTGTCGGTCGGAAAACTGTTTTGGGGACGGGGAGGGAAAGGGGTTGGCCGGCTTGCTTAGTGATGGGCGTTTTGGCATGTGGACAGCCAGCAAAGGGGAAAGGGGGGGGGGGGGGAGGCGAGGCTATCTATCGGGCGTCTGAAGGTCGGTGGTTAGGGATTCTTAATAAACTTCAAGAGACAACAATCTTTCGGCGCTGAGTTGGTGATCGTTCTGTGTTGCCCTCTTCGCCCTCCATCTGGAGTCTACCAAAATGTTGGGAAGCAATAAACGTTGCCGACAAGTTGGACGGCGGTGATTAGGATCTGCTTGAATGTGGACAAACCCTCAAAGTAAAAGGGATTAATGGGAAGCAGGGTTTCGGGCAGGTAGCGAAAAGGCGGCGTTTCTTTTGGGGAACCGATACGAGTGACGGTGTGACTCAAGGACGCCTTTCAGCAGAAAACATAGATATCTGCATTTGACCCTGAATAGTTTCGCCGCTGTCTATTTCATTTGCCCGGAGACTTTCTCTCTTTCTTTCTTTGCGACGGTTGGAGCTTCGTTGCGGGAGTAATTTGTGTAGTTCTGTGTATAATTGTGTGCTTCGAACGAAGGAGCCTCCCTGTTTCAACTTGTCACTAACCTGCGTTACTCCAGCTCAGCCACAGTTTAAACCCGCAATTTTGTTCCTTTACTTCGTGTTGACTTTTTATTCATAATGAGCTCGTTATGGCGACAACACAACTCGGAGCGAGTGTTTTGCGCAGATTACCTTGCAAAGCACAAAAAGAAGATCCCGATGCAGCAAAATTTTCGCAGTGTGAGAGAGCTCGATGTGGACTGTTTGAAGCGAATTCTTCCGTCTGGCAGCTCCATGGAAGTGAGCAAGCTGGACTACCTGTGCTACAATTGCTTTACGCATTTCACCAAGCAAATATCTTTGCGAAGCTCAGAGTTTGGCGGTGACAGCTTTATGCCTCCTGAGGAGGCCATTGGAGACCTCAACCGCAGCGTACGTTCAACGTTTGTGTCACCACTAAGACCACCGAGTGAAGTAAGAAGTCGAGACAGGCCTGCCTATGTAAAGAGAAAACAGACGGAGTTGGAGCAGGTTGTGACTGAGAATTTCCGCTCCAGGATGCGTCTTGAGTACGATGAAAACGTGGCATCCGGGTCGTCGAAGCAAAAGTGCTCCACATGCACCGAGTGGGCGGACAACATTCGCCGCGCCTTTGCGACCACAGCCTCTCCCCGGGAACGCTGTCAATTGCTGACCCTCCTGCCATCAACCTTGCAAGAAATGAAGTCCAGAAAATCATCCCAGAGGCATCGATCTACATCAATAATAGGTCCCGGAAGCTGAGGGAGGACCACGGCGTGCGGTATGTGCCCGATCCCTATACAAGGTGTAAAGTGAGCCCTGAAAACATATCTGCAGCGGTTGAGTACTACATGAAAGACGAGTTAGAGTGTTCTAGGCAGAGTCCCAATCGGAAACACGTCATTTCCGTTGTGCTTGATGGCCAGAAAACGCTCAAGCCGAAACGTTTTATGACACGGTCAATCAGAGAAGCGTTTCGTGTATATAAAAGTGACCATCCCGACTCCGGCATCGGATTGACAAAGTTTTACTCCCTGCGACCCCGATGGGTTAAATGCAATCCCCAGCAAGAAGCGTGCGTCTGTGTGTACTGCGCAAACTACAACCTCTGTGTCGCCTCTCTACAAAACGCTTCTGGCTCACAACTTGACGCAGCGGAATTGACCTCTGCATTTATTTGCAACCCGCCATCGCGCCAGTGCCTTTTAGGCGAATGTGACCATTGTCCCAAAGGCCAGTCTCTCACACTCAAAAAACTCAACATGTCCGAGGATGAAGAGATAGTTTTGGCAGCATGGGAGTCAAGCGAGCTCGTGAAAAAGACTTTAGATCCGGTCACTTTTCTGGAGGAGCTTCGTGTGTCTGTCTCAAGGTGGATCATTCACAACCATATCAGACAGACGCAAGGCAAAGCCATCTATGAAGCAAAGCAGTGCGCGCAGCGTGGTAGCATTGTCTTCCACTTCGACTTCGCTGAAAACTGGACTGTTATCCTTCCTGATGAGATTCAAGCGTACCACTAGAAAAAAAACACAGGTCTCAATATTTACGTGTGTGGTGACTACTAGACAGTCGACATACAGTTTTGCCGTCATCAGTGACGACTTGCACCATGACTCCGCTCATGCCTGTCTGGCTGTACAAAAAGAGAGAGTGGGTCGATGACAACCTTGCTGTGTACTCTCATTTGACTTATGTAAGTGACGGTGCCGCCAGTCACTTCAAGAATCGCTTCCAACTTCATGAATTCAAAAAAAAAATGTTTTTCGCAAAGCACAATGGCTATTCTCAGCCACTGGGCACGGAAAAAACGCGTGTGACGGAGTTGGAGGACTCGTCAAACACCAAGCAACGCTTCACAACTTGAGACAGCTCCCAGGAAAGGCCATACAGTCTGCAAAATGCATGGTGAACAGTCTTTCCCAAAAACTAAAAGGAGTGAATTTCACACTTTTGGACGAAGACGAGGTTGTTGAATTCCGTCAGCGCAAAAATGAAGAGTGGGTGGGAGTGCGCGCCTTTCCTGGTATTCAGTCGTGGCATGTGTGGCTATGCAAAATATCTAAGCTTCGACCTGCGACTTGCAAGTGGCACGTACTATCGGGTCCCCTTGGAAGAAACTCGTCAGAAAATGTTTGCGCCAAAATCTGTTCATTTTGAAACCTATGAAGGCAGGAATCTGTTGTATATTAGGTGTAATTTATTATATTTAATGTTCAATTTATTATAACGTGACAAAGATGTGACAAACTATTACTGGCTATACTCGAATGAATAAACAAATTACTTTTCTCTCAAAGTAAGAAGTCGCCATAACTGCGTCGCACCACAGGGGTACACCGTGCCGAGCTTCGCAGAAGGGGCTCGGTAGAGGTGCTGTATCTATTACACCATCAATATAATGCAACATCTTTTTAATGGATATAAATCCCCAAATAGAGTAGACTGACCGGTCAGAGTTTAAAAAGAATCGAGAACGGGTTTTTGCTTTTAAAGCGCCCTTAAAATATTTTTATTTTGGTGCTTGTCTCGTGTTTGCTTGTCAAAATCTCCCCAACCCGCTCTTAAATAAATTTGGATTTTAGTGAATGTACTTCCATTTATGAGTAGCGTATTAAATTAAAATATGACGTTTCTGACTAAATTATTTCCTAAGATACAGGCCTGCAAAGTTGGGGGAAAAACGGTCAAGGAGCCGAAATTGATGTTTTTTATTTATTTTTAAGAACATACTAAACAATAACAATATTTTTTTTCGCATTGCTAAGCACATATAGATTATACTAAAATATTGTGAAACTCACCTAAGAAGTATAACTTTAGTTATTAATCACCAACGTTGCCCCCTCCGGCTATGCAAGCAAATGCGACTTTCCACCTCTACGTGATGTACGATTTTTTGCGTTCGACAATTTTTTTTCTGGGTGAAAATAATTCTGATTTTGTTTATTTTGGACATCGGGAAACAACATACAAAATTATGAAGCAAATTAAAAAGGTTGACCAGCCACCCCCTGTTCGATCTTATCTGAAATCACCCCATAATACCTTTCTGGCATGTTGAAAAAAAAATCAAACTTTCTTGCGAATAGAAAACAATGGGAAATTCTCGGATTTAAGCTCGCTCGCGAAGTTTGTAGATATTATTTATACATGCCGTTGTTTTTTTTCTTAAATAATCGGTGTAATGGCTTATGTTCTTTTGTAGGTGTACATTAAGGGGATAAAAAGATAAAAAACCTGGACAGCCATAAAAACACACACGACAGGAACAAGTTTGTACTATCGTGTGTGTTTTTACCGCTGTCCCCGTTTTACGAGCTGTTTATCCCCACCAGGTACAACTACTACCCCTGGCCCAAATCACCACCTTAGTACCTTGACGGTGTGTTTTAAATTGTAAAATAAATCAAATACAATAACAACGTTATTCGTAAACACTTAGCCAAAAAACAGAAACACACAAAAAAAACGTAAAACAAATAAGTCAAACACTAAATACATACAACAGACAAAATATTTCGTTTTTGTTTAATTGTCCTCGTATAAATAATAAACAGAACTCTCTACACAGATAACCTGTAGTGATATTTTCACCTGACGAACTACGTTATTCTTTACAAAATCTTACCTAGAACTCCTTGGGCGTTCTTGAAGACGCAGGGAGTCTCGGGGTACACAGTGCAACTTATGGTGTCCATTCCAGCGTCTTCGACCATTTCTTTCACAGAAGTTTCTACATCCTTCAAACTCGGCTTGGGATCACGATTCCAGGATTTCGGAATGATTTCCAAAGGATCCTGAAGGAGTATTACATCAAAGTAAATACAAGATCTACATTTACGAAAAACATAAGTATGAAGTGCAGAACGCCATTGAATCATTTAATTTTACACCTTTTGGCGAGCTTTACGATGAAGACACGTCTTTAAGTCCGACACAAATACACAAATTATAAAAAAAAACCAGATATCTCTACTCAACTTCGTAACTTCGGTCTGATCAGAGTAATGCACTAATCTTTCATTCTTAGGAAGGAATATTAAATTAACCGAGGCATAATATTTTATCGCATTTGGCAAAACTAAAATCTATGTTTAAAAGGTTGAAACGTGTAGACAAACACTCACCCCAATGATGTCCCTCCAACGCTCCATTGATGCCATCTCTTGCCAGACGTCGTAAAAAACAAACTGAGAAAGGAACAAAAGAAGGCACTCTCCGTCGTCTTTCAACAATTTGCCGACGTTTGTGAAAGCCACATCTTGATCCTTGATCCAGTGCAAGCAGTAGAATGAGTAAACCCGATCGAACTTGCCGTGTTTTTCCAGAAATTTTGAGATGTCTCTTGAACCTGCATCAAGGACCTCGTAGCTTATTTCTGGGTGCGGATGATTTGCCTTGGCGTATTCAATCATGCCCGGCAATGCGTCCACAGCTACCATCTTGCGGCATGGCTTGCTCCATGGAAGCAGCACGTTCCTCGTGAAGTCTCCCGTCCCGCATCCGATGTCCAGCATTTGTTCGCACTCGCTCGTGGGTTTTCGAAATCTTGTCATTTTCAACGCTTCTTTGTTCATGGGCCTACTTTTATCATTCGCGCGCGCGTAACGTTCGGGGCTAAATTTGGCAGTCATGATTTTTGTTGTAGGATATATCGGGTAAGCGACTGAGGTGGACTGCTGGTGGTTGTGCGCCCGCCTTAGGAGGACGTACAAATTGCAGACGCACACTGACCTTAGCTTACTAGCGTTCCGCATTTATAAGATCTGACCGTTTAGAGACGCTGACGCTCATGCGCGTTATCTCTCATTCTTTCGCTTCTGCTCTCGTTTTTCCAAGAATGTACTGCAGAGATAAACTTGCAACGGCTCTCTTCAAAGAGGCCTTGCGTGGATCGTTGTCTTTGGCACTATAGATACGCGGGACAAACATGACAGACGTTGTGACATTATACTTACGGAATCGGTTGGCCAACCTATGAGACTCATTAGAAAATATTCGTCATTATTTAAAAATAAAGCATATTAGTGATAGTTAGAATCGACCGTAACCCTTTAACGCCAACATTGGCTATCGCCGGTAACCCCTTACTTTTCGGTCTGCAGTAACCTCGTTACAGTTTCAAAACATAACAGATAAAACACTTGCGTTACTCATTTTGAGTAATGGGTAAGGTGTAGTCACGTTAATCGCTGCATCTTCTTCGCCAAACATAAAAAATATATTTAATTTGTTTTCGTATTTCATGGCGCCAGATATAATGATTTTTGTTTTGGCGTTTTTCTTGCTTTTTCTTGTGATGATTTAGAAAGAATACTAAATAGTATGAGGTATTTATGTTAAGTATTTGTGAATATATGTACACTTATAATGGCGAAACAGCAAAACATTTCAATTCGCTGATAAAAAGCAAAGCAAAAGTGCCGTGAATTTCTTTTAGAGCACAGCTCTTAGGCGCCCATGTCCGGCTTGAGCGGCGTCGGCGTCGGCATCGCCGTCGGCGTCGCGTAACCACGTGACCCCCCAGGTCAAGGGACCTTGGGGGGTCACGTGACCTCACGGGGGTCACGTGATCTCGGGGGGGGGGGGGGGGGTCACGTGACCTTGGGGGTCATGTGACCTCGGGGGGGGGTCACATGACCTCGGGTGTCACGTGGTCTGGGGGTCACGTGGCCTCGGGGGTCACGTGACCTCTGAGGGTCACATGACCCACCTAGGCCACGTGACCCCCCTCCCCCCATATCACGTGACCCCCCCTCAGAGGTCACGTGTCCACCCTGAAGTCACGTGACCGCCTGAGGTCACGTGATTTCCCTGAGGTCGCGTGACCCCCTGAGGTCCCGTGACCCCCTCCCCCGAGGTCACGTGACCCCCCTGACGTCACACGACCCCCTGAGGTCACGTGACCTTAAAGGACACATGCAAAGGAAAAAAGCATTTTTTTTAGACAGCTTAGATGGAAAAAGGATGTCATAAAACGATTTGACAACGAAGAAACAAAATTTTTAGAGCTATGTTTACGGCGCTATACGAATTTGTAGTTGGCGCTCGCGGGAGCCGCTGCTGGTCACGTGGTAGGCCCGCGCGCCGCCGCGCTGCGTCGCCGCCGCACGCTGAGCGTTGTGCGAACGCCGCTTCAACGCGTTTCTCCAAGCTGCCGTCGCCGCCGCCGCACAAGTTCGTCTGCTTCGGGGCGCCGCCACCGTCGTCTGACCGGCGCACAGGTCTATCACGTCTGCTTGCGCTTTTTCAGGAGTTTCCTTTGGGCTCTAAAAGTTACTTATTCGTCTTGGTTTTTTGTTATACTTCAAACAAAGATGAATAAGTTACTTTTAGAGGCCATAGGAAGCTTCCGAAAGAGCGCAAGCACCACGTGATAAATAAAGACCAGTCACGTGATAAATACAGACCACTTTTCCGCGGTGCCCGCGGGCGCCAACTACAAATTCGTTTTGCGCCGTAAATATAGCTCTAAACTTTTTTTTTTCTTCGTTGTAAAATCGTTTTATGGCGTCCTTTTTCCATCTAAGCCGTTTAAAAAAAATGTTTTTTTCCTTTGCATGTGTCCTTTAAGGAGTCGCCTATCCCTCAGTACATTTCCATCCTCCTCCTCAAGAGCTGCGCTCCAACCGGCGTTACAGGGAATTGTAAACGGCTTTCATTTTTCTCGGTAACGGTAAGGGTAACGTTTTCCTTTTCGGGCGAAGTAAAGCATGTCGGCTACGGGCTCCTTTCATTTGCAAGTAACAAGTAATGTATTTCGTCACCTTTTTTTATTTTTCGACAAGTCTGAATGATGCCGGTTTGTTGCAGAATTTGTTTAAATATTGCCTATACAAATTGCGTAAGAATGAAGTAATTCAGAAAGAGAATGATGAAGGACGCATGTCATATATCGTGCTCGTATTCTTTATAATAATATCTATTTATTCATTCATTCATTCATTCATTCATTTATTTTTCGTGCTCATGAACGGCGAGTAGCCTATGCAATGATGCACAGAGTCAAAAGAAACACACATAAGAAATCAACAGCACATGCAACAGCTAATATCTATTATGGGGGAAGAGGAAATAGGTAACAGTTAAATATCAGCCAGAGAACACCTAAACGCTTGAACACTTGAGTTGAAAATGTCGATGTCGATGCTGGTTGTACTGAACCTGTTATAAAAATGTTGGATGCGGTTCATGGGACTGGAGAGGTTGATTTTTTGAACTGAGAAAGTGGGATCTATATTTCCAACAATGAGGTACAGTATTGGTGGTGGCTGGCACGAAAGCTGTTAAAGGGGCCCTGCAATCATATTTAAGCGTCTACCTTTTTTGCGGTTTCCACGTCTCTTGAAGTTCGGGCAAGCCAGCGGGCACGGAGAGAGTAACTAAATATCAGTGCGTCATATTTTAACCGGACGACGCGGAAACCTCCTCCACCGACGAGGGCGACCCGCGGTACCGAAAGCGCGCAAAATGTCACGTTTTTGGTCCTGGTCTTACTACTGGTCAGAGCCGCTAAAAGCTTCTTTTTAATCGAAATACAAAATATAAGTGTCGCGAACCGTTTTAGTTACTTATAAAAGTAGTTTTTGTTCACTATTTTAGATGAGAAAAGAAACAAATGCAGTTTATAAAGTACGGAAACAAGAAATGACCCGCCGACATACCCACCACCATGCGGCGGAAAAGGCGGCGCATACTAGAAAGAAGTAGTGGGATCAGGCGCCGACACGGAAAGGTCCCGGATGTACGCGGCAGCGCTGCGGTCGTATGGGCAGGAGGATCCGACCGGCTCCGAGCCTTCCGAAGGCCGTTGGCGAAATGCTTTGGCTTGCGGGTTGGCCGTTTCGCGGTATGGCAGCGCGAAGTGGCTCCCACTCTGAACTGATCTTTACCCCGTGTTTGCTGTCGTTTGTGGCCAATGAAGCGTCATGCCGAATTAGTGTTTAATCACGCAGCAAAGGCAATGAGAGCCGCTCTGGCTGCCCGCTGCATACAGCCTGTCCAGAACATGCTTTAGTGGCGCCCTCTCGCGCCGTCGACACGGAATGCGGCAGCTGTGAGCGCTCGCGATGAGCTCACTACCCCTCCTCTAATTCACGGCCGCTCAAGCAACCAAGGACGTCATGAGGGAGGTTATTTTTTGCTTGTTTTTGTAATTTTGATTTGCCTATAACTTTTAAAATAAAGCGAATTTCAAGAAAATAAAGGTTACAATAAGTTACTACTGTAGGAGTAGAGGCTCGGCAAATCACACTCTACATATTTATTTACAATATTTTACACTGTCCTTCTGACTAGCTCATCGAGGGGCCCTTCGCCGAATCCCAGATTCCGTGCAGCTCGTGGTCCAGGCACCTCGCGTCCTTAGCTCGTGCCTGTCCCGTGAGCTTGGCGCCGTTGAAGCGCTGGATCGCTGCTGATAGCTGCCGCTACAGGTACTCCCCCCCTAGCGAGGAAGCGGTCTGGCGAGCGTTCCTGGTTTCGAGAGGGTCTGTGTGCAGGCTGGTGTTCATGTGGAGCCTTACGTGACGTGGCTTTGGAAGGCGTGTGGTCACGGATGAGTAAAAATCGGGTGCCAAGTGAGCAGGCTTGACTCTGTCTAGAGACACTACTTCTTCTCGACCGTTGACGTCGAGCGTCATGTTCTTCTTGTCTCGACGCAGTATAAGATAAGGGCCGTCATATGGGGGCTGCAAGGGCTTCTTTACGCCATCGTGTCGAACGAACACGTGCTTACTTGTGTCGAGGTCGCGGCTAACAAAAGTGTGTCTTGTGGAGGGCGTCCTTGGGCAGGTGGGCTGGAGGTCTTTCATTAGTAGTCGCAGCCGCTGGACGTAGTTTTCTGCTGTTTCCTGTGAAATGTTGGCTGAGGAAGAAAAAAATTCGCCAGGCAAGCGGAGTGACGTGCCGTAAACGAGTTCAGCTGCACTGCAATTGATGTCCGATTTGAAGGCTGTTCTGATTCCCAACAAGACAAGTGGAAGAGCATCTGTCCATGCCGAGCTGTTGGTTTGCGGTTTGATGGAGGCTTTCAACTGACGATGAAAACGCTCTACCATGCCGTTGGAGATCGGATGGTAGGACGTCGTATGGATGTGTTGAACTCCAAGGAAGTGGGAGAGAGTTCGAAATAAAGTCGCTTCGGACTGACGTCCTTTGTCCGTTGTGATGGTCTGTGGGACACCGAAGCGACTAATCCACATTTCAATCAGTGTTCGAGCTACGGTTGTTGCGGTGATGTCTTTCATTGGTGCCGCTTCCGGCCACCGCGTGAAGCGATCGACGCAGGTTAGAAGATAACGGTTTTCTTGTGATGGAGGAAGTGGTCCCACGATATCAACGTGAATGTGGGCGAAGCGAGTGTCCGGTGTGCTAAAAGCTCCCAAGAGCGCCTTGGTGTGCCGGTGAACTTTCGAGCGTTGGCACTGGACGCAGGTTTTGGCCCAGGACCTCACGTCAACGTTGATACGAGGTCATATAAACCACGAAACTATCAGTCTCTGGGTTGCTCGTATCCCGGGATGGGACAAGGAGTGCAAGCAGTCAAAAACTGTTCGCCGCAAGTCTGCTGGTACGAAGGGGCGGGGACGACCTGTCGAAACTTCGCACGCAACTGTGCCGTCACATTCGGGCATGCGTATGTCTTCAAAGACTAGTGTCGTTGACGTTGTCCGTAGGCGTTGTAGTTCGAGGTCGCCTCGTTGTGCTTCCGCCAGCTGTGCGTAAGGAACTACAGGTCGGTCCGTGGAG